ACATCTTAAAATGAGGACATACGGAGATATTGTAAAACATGGAAACAACACATTAATTATAACCGAGTTGTAAATAACACATTTGACAATATGAAGTGTTTTCAAAAAGACATTAGGGTATTCTTTTTTTTAAATCTTAAAATGTATACGACTCAACTTTTAAATCTTGAATATAGAATAGCCAATCACTACATATTAATTATAGCAGTGAATCCCATTAGTTAAAATAGCAAAGCATACCAAAAATCTACACAATACATAAAAACAAAAGTGCCAAATATTCAGCAATGAACATTGAAGTAGAAAGTAAACATTAGAACGTCACTTGTTATGACTTTAGGAAAATGCCAGCAATTAAAAACCCTAATAAATAATACTGGGAATTCAGAGGAGGACAACTGAGTTTATGAAGTGGGAGGGAAGGAGGTTTTAATACTAATGAGACTAAAGGAAAATAACATATCGCTCTTAACGATTTAGTATTTAGTTGGTCATTGGCAAGGAATGCACAGAGTATGGAAGAAGGAGATAGCCCCTATGCCCAGATAAAAGGGAGCTGACCTGAAGGTAGAGCTGGGAACCTTAATCAGAGTAAACAGCAAGAACCAGGAAGAGAGAGTTAAGTAGCTGGTACACTGTGACCAAGCAGATGGGTCACCAGTTTCTGGGTGAAGGCTGTACTTTGAATCATCCTTAACTGTTTTCAAACTTCGAACCACTTATTTCAAATGAGAAAATGCTATGAAAGTGGTTTCAGTGCTCTTTAATGGTCTCTAAGTTTTGTATCTATGGTGGTAAAATGGATTCCTGTTGATCTCAAAGTCTTACCTTTTCCTTCCTCTGGTCAATGCAAAGTGAGGAAAATGGAAAGAAACCATCATACTTTGGGGTACTGGTCTCCCCGGATTGATGGTAGTAGCAGGCATGTGTGAATATCTCAGAGTGTTTATGCTTCTTTTTGTGGCAAAGTACTTTGCAAACTGGTCACAAGGTGGTGTGCACACATCAGGTTTTCTTTATAATTTCATTCAGGATTGATGTTCTGTGCCTTTGGTACAGGGGAGGAAGACAGGACAGTTTCCTGTATCACCAGATCTCAGCTGCACTCTCTGCCTGTGAGGTCAGAAGTGTGGTGGAGCCTCAGATTTCTAAATGCTTGCTGGCACAGTTAGGCACTGAAGAGCTAGGGAAAATCAGAGGGAAACAGAAAGAGGGGAGGGGAGAAAAGGGGAAGAGAGGCGACTGGGAGTGCTGATTCTCTCTGCTCTCCTCTTACCCCAACCCATGGTGAGCAGCTACCTAAGATTTACTGCTCCTCTAATTAGGATCCCTTGCTTGTCTTTTTTTTTTTTTTTTTTTGAGACGGAGTCTCGCTCTGTCGCCCAGGCTGGAGCGCAGTGGCCAGATCTCAGCTCACTGCAAGCTCCGCCTCCCGGGTTTACGCCATTCTCCTGCCTCAGCCTCCCGAGTAGCTGGGACTACAGGCGCCCGCCACCTCGCCCGGCTCATTTTTTGTATTTTTTTAGTAGAGACGGGGTTTCACCGTGTTAGCCAGGATGGTCTCGATCTCCTGACCTCGTGATCCGCCCGTCTCGGCCTCCCAAAGTGCTGGGATTACAGGCTGGAGCCACCGCGCCCGGCCTCCTTGCTTGTCTTGTATAGACAAAGTGTGTTCAGCTATGATGGGCAAGTGGTGGGGGGAATGTTTCCCAGTAGAGGAGACAGTTATTAGTAGACATCTGTAGGATAGCTGATAAGCTCTTAGCTATCTGCTAAGTGCCCAGCACTGACCTTGGGCCTATGAAGGGTACAAAAAACAAAAGCATCCCACAAAAAAACAATATGGCATTATACCTAAAATTTGACTGAGGAGTCAAAATTAATGCACACAAAACAAATGTCAAAATATTCCATTCTGACTGGGTTCAGTGGTTCATGCCTGTAATCTCAGCACTGTGGGAGGATTGCTTCAGTTCAGGAGTTCAAGACCAGCCTGGACAACACAGGGAGACCCTGTCTCTACATAAATTAAAAAAAAAAATTAGCCGGGAGTGGTGGCACATACCTGTGGTCCCACCTACTTGGGAGGCTGAGGTGGAAGAATCACTTGAGCCCAGGAGTTTGAGGCTGCAGTGAGCTGAGATCATGCCAGTGCACTCCAGCCTGGGTGACAGAGTAAAACCACGTCTCAAAAAAGAATTCAACTCATACAGTAAGTACATTCAAAATAACATCATAAAATTGGTGAGATCCGTGGAGATGGAGATCATGGTAGTAGAGGAATGCCACAGGGAGAGGGAATTTTTTTTTCTTTTTTTTTGAGTCAGAGTCTCGCTCTGTCACCCAGGCTGGAGTGCAGTGACGCCATCTTGGCTCACTGCAACCTCCGCCTCCCTGGTTCAAGCAGTTCTCTCGCCTCAGCCTCCCGAGTAGCTGGGATTACATGTGTGCACCACCACGCCCAGCTAATTTTTTTTGTATTTTTAGTTTTGCCACGTTGGCCAGGCTGGTCTCAAATTCCTGGCCTCAAGTGATCCGCCCGCCTCAGCCTCTCAAAGTGCTGAGATAACAGGCGTGAGCCACTGTGCCCAGCTAAGGAAGGGGAATTTGTATTAGGTTTTGAAAAATGAGTAAAATTTTGCTGTCCAGAGAGGAAGAATGCGGCAAGCCTTCATTATTAATGTCCTGATGAATAGTTCCTGACAACTATAGCTGTTTCATCATCAGGAAAATAGTGTGTGCAACTCAATAAGTGAAATTGTCTCTTGATTTTTCTTTATAAAACTGAAAAGGAAACACAAATGAAGATAATGCAGACTTAGTTGTGACTTGAATTTTGGATCATCCTTTGAGAACTCTGATCTTCTTGATAAGCAGGGACAGTTGCTACAGATTAGGGCATGTGTGGTAGTCAGCATCAGGGAGGCAGAACTTTGTTGTTTTTTTTTTTTCGAGATGGAGTTTCGCTCTGTTGCCCAGGCTGGAGTGTAGTAGTGCGATCTCGGCTCAATGCAACCTCCATCTCCTGGATTCAAGCAATTATCCTGCCTCAGCCTCCTGAGTAGCTGGGATTACAGGCATGCGCCACCATGCCCAGCTAATGATGGTCAGGCTGGTCTCAAACTCTTGACCTCAAGTGATCCACCTGCCTCAGCCTCCCAAAGTGCTGGGATTACAGGTGTGAGCCACCGCACCTGGCCGAGGCAGGACTTTTGAAATTGAGACACAGAAGGGATGACTGTATAAGGAAGTGTAAACCTGGAGACCAGAGTTCTGCCACTGATACCCTGTGCAACCTTGGATAAGTCTCTTAACCATCCTGGGCCTGTTTCCCACATCTGTCAAATGAGAAAAGTGGGAACCAACTAATTCTGACTTGGTGTGCACTTGACTTTTGGAAAGCAACCTCCTAAACCGATTTGCAATAAGTTTTTACCAGTTTAGTATATAATCTCTCCCCAGGATTTTTGCATTTTATCATTTTGTAATATGGACTGCAGCAAAGAGAAAGTGTTAGTCTCCAGAAAACTATCAATTCAAGGCAAGTGTTACACCTTATTATGTTCATTGGCACAGTTGCTAATATTGCTCTATTGACTTGGTGCTAATTCTTCCCTAATTTCCACTGGTTGGAGTTTAGGAGGCAACTTATATCTTAGCCAAGGTAAGTGATAAGCTGGGCGTGGTGGCTCACGCCTGTAATCCCACCACTTTGGGAGGCCAAGGTGCGCGGATCACGAGGTCAGGAGTTCAAGACCAGCCTGGCCAACATGGTGAAACCCTGTCTCTACAAAAATACAAAAAAAAAATTAGCCAGGCGTGGTGGCATGCACCTCGAATCCAAGCTACTCGGGAGGCTGAGGCAGGAGAATCACTTGAACCCGGGAGGCAGAGGTTGCTGTGAGCCGAGATCATGACATTGCACTCCAGCCTGGGTAACAAGCGAAACTCCATCTCCCAAAAAAAAAAAAAAAAAAAAAAAGTGATAAATGGGAACAGAGATAGGAAAAGAAATAATAGTAAATTGCTCAAATATTATTAAACACTTAAACACTTCTCTCATAGTAACAAGGAGATAGCCTATTCGTGATTCATGGGGAAATGTGTACATGTTCAACTCACAAAGAGAAAGCTTTGAAATTAAAAGAAAAAGAATTCCTTCTATGCCATTATTCAAAGATAGTAAAATTTCTACTTTGACCTCTGTTGACTAACTTCTTAAAGTTAGAACCAAGAGTTTAGCATTTGTCTGTGTGGTTAATTTTGACTTCCCAGTCAGATTTATGAACCATTTCATACTCTTTTAAAACAAATAGTTTCACATTAGAGTTATACATGTTCTTAAATTTGCAAGTTATCTTAAATCTTTTTCTCACTCTGAGTTTCTGTTACATGTAAATTATTTTAAATAATCGAAATTATTCTATTTAGCCCATAGTTTAAGGTTTTCAGTATGTTTTTGGGAGAATTATAAACTAGACAATACAGTTAACAGAGATTTTTCACATTGCTTCTAAATTCCCTCTTGTGTTTCAAAACAGGCACCTTTTTCAAAGTAAGCCCTAGTAGAGTTGTTACTTAATTTTTTTTTTTAATAAGTATTTAAAGACTTCAGAATTCAAAAGATACAAAAGGGTATCCAGAGAAAAATTCCTCCCACCCCTGTTTCTTTCTCCAGGGACAAATGTGGATATCCTTCCAAAGAATTTCACCTCTATCCAAGACAATAGGTTTTCATATTCTTTTATCTGCCCCCCCCTCCTTTTTTTTCTTTTTGAGACAGAGTCTCTCTCTGTCGCCCAGGCTAGAGTGGAGTGATGCAATCTCGGCTCACTGCAAGCTCTGCCTCCCGGGTTCACGCCTTTCTCCTGCCTCAGCCTCCCAAGTAGCTGGGACTACAGGCACCCACCACCATGCCCGGCTAATTTTTTTGTATTTTTAGTAGAGATGGAGTTTCACCGTGTTAGCCAGGATGATCTTGATCTCCTGACCTCATGATTCACCCACCTCGGCCTCCCAAAGTGTTGGGATTACAGGCGTGAGCCACTGCGCCGAGCCTTATCTCCCTTTTTATACAAATGGCAGCATGCGTTACACACTGCACTGCTCCTTGCGTTTCTCACTTAACACTACCTCTTGAAGATCAGTCCATCTCTAACTACACAGAGTCTCCTCTTGATACCTGGTATCCCAATGAATGGATAGACTATACTTTATTTAATGAATCCTCTTTTAATGGACAGTTGAGCTGTTTCCAATCTTCTTTTTCTTTTTCAGATGGAGTCTCACTCTGTCTCCCAGGCTGGAGTGCAGTGGCATGATCTCGGCTCACTGCAACCTCCACCTCCCGGATTCAAGTGATTCTCCTACCTCAGCCTCCTGAGTAGCTGGGATTACAGGTGTGCGCCACCACGCCCGGCTAATTTTAGTATGTTTAGTAGAAATGGAGTTTCACCATGTTGGTCAGGCTGGTCTCGAACTCCTGACCTCAGGTGATCTGCCCGCCTTGGCCTCCCAAAGCGCTAGGATTACAGGTGTGAGCCACCTCGTGTGGCTTGTTTCCAGTCTTTTGCTATTAACAACAAAAAACTAGCTCTTCCTGGGTGCCAAGTTCTGTTCCATATTGTTTCACATAAATCATTTTATTTAACCCTCAGCACTGCAGAGAAACCTTTCACCTACATGACTTCACACAAGGGTAATATATATGCCAGATAAATCCCTAGACGTACAATCTCTGGAACTGAGGCTGTGTGCATTTGATTTTGGCACATATAGTGGTTATGCCAATTCACCTCCCCACAAGGAATGTAAGCACATGCTTGATTGCTCCCATCATATGCTGTCAAAATTTGAGTTTTACTAATGGGATAGGTAAAAAATTGTGGTATTATAGTATGGCTTTATTTTGGATTTCCTTTGCTGTGAGTGAGGTTAAACATCCTTTTGTAAGTTCAAGGACAATTTTTATGTCCCTTTTCTATGAAATACTATAGTTTACTAATTTTTTGTTTTAGTTTTAATTGACAAACAATAATTTAATATACTTTTATATTGAGTTGTCTTTTTCTCAGTAATATGTAGGCCCTCCATATAGTAGGGAAACTTGCCTGTGATACGAATTGCAAATGTTCCTTTGGCTTTGCTTATAAAGTTTTTTTGCCATGCAGAGTTTAAAAAGTTATACAGACGAATTTATCATTTTCTGTTTATTTCTGTCTTCAGGAACAGTTTTTCGTTTGTTTGTTTGTTTTTTTCCCAAGACGGAGTCTTGCTCTGTTGCCCAGGCGGGCGTGCAGTGGCACAATCTCCGCTCACTGCAACCTCCACCTCCCGGGTTCAAGCAGTTCTCTGCCTCAGCCTTCCGAGTAGCTGGGATTACAGGCGCACGCCATTATGCCCAGCTAATGTTTGTATTTTTAGTAGAGACAGGGTTTCACCATGTTGACCAGGCTGGTCTCAAACTCCTGACCTCATGATCCGCCTGCCTTGACCTCCCAAAGTGTTGGGATTACAGGCTGAGCCACCGAGCAAGCCCGGCCTTCAGGAACAGTTTCTTTTCTTTCTTTTTTTTTGTTGTTTGTTTTTTGGTTTTTTTTGAGATGGAGTCTCACTCTGTCACCCAGGCTGGAGTGCAGTGGTATGATCTCAGCTCACTGCAGCCTCTGCCTGCTGGGTTCCAGTGATTCTCCTGCCTCAGCCTCCCAAGTAGCTGGGACTACAGGCACACACCACCATGCCCGGCTAATTTTTGTATTTTTTAGTAGAGACAGGGTTTCACCATATTGGCCTCAAACTCCTGACCTCGTGATCCTCCCACCTCAGCCTCCCAAAGTGCTAGGATTACAGGCATGAGTCACTGCGCCAGGCCAGGGACAATTTCTAAGTGAAAAAAAACAATTTGGTTTCTGTTTTTACGTCATTATTAGAAAGCCTGAGGTTTTTTGTTTTGTTTTCTCATTGTTCTAGAATATTTATGACTTTATTTTTTTTTAATTTTACTTTTTTTTAAAAAAAACTTGTATCTGTTTAGAATTTTCCCTGATTAAGGAGTGAAGGATAAATTATTTTTTTTCTAGATAGATACCTGATTCAGCTAACATTTATTGATTAATCTATCCTTCACAAATCAGAGATACCACTTTTTATCCTAAATTAAATTCTCATCTTGACAGAATTTTAGAATGAGATGGTGCATATAATTTTGTGATGCCAAATTTGGATGTTCTCTTCCTAATGCTTCCTAAGATAGTAATTATACAGCTTATTTATCATTTTTTATTGAAAAAAAAAGAGAGAACACATCAAACTTCTGAGAGCACATTATCCCAATAGAAATGTGTATTGCTTTTGAGTAGAAGAAATAAAAATGGAAAATTATAATTCTTTAATCGGATGGCTTTTAGAATAATCTTAGTTTTGTATTTTTTTTCTATAAACCCAGGAACTTGATAATCTTAGTTCTGTTTTATTTTATTTTCTTTTTTTTAAGACAGAATCTCAGTCTGTTACCCTGGCTGGAGTGCAGTGGCGTTGTCATGGCTCACTGTAGCCTCAACATCCCTGGACTCAGATGATCCTCCCACCTCAGGCTCCTGAGTAGCTGGGACTACAGGCATGTTCCACCACCCCCAGCTAATTTTTGTATCCTTTGTAGAGACAGGATTTTGCCGTATTGCCCAGGATGATTTTAAATTCCTGGGCTCAATAAATCCTCCCACCTTGGATTCCCAAAGTGCTTGGATTACAGGCATGAGCCACCGCATCTAGCCTTAGTTTTATTTTATTGAAGTGCACAGACAGTATAGTGGAAAGAATACTGGACTAGGAGGCAGGAGGTCTGTCAGCTCTTTGGTTTTTTGTTTTATTTATTTATTTATTTATTTATTTATTTTATTATTATTATTATTGAGACGGAATTTCGCTCTCGTTGCCCAGGCTGGAGTGCAGTGGTGTGATCTTGGCTCACTGCAACCTCTGCCTCCCGGGTTCAAGTGATTCTCCTGCCTCAGCCTCCCAAGTAGCTGGGATTACAGGCACCTGCCACCATGCCTGGCTAATTTTTGTATTTTTAGTAGAGACAGGGCTTCACCATGTTGGCCAGGCTGGTCTCAAACTCCTGACCTCAAGTAATCCACCCGCCTTGGCCTCCCAAAGTGCTGGGATTACAGGCGTGAGCCACTGCGCTCAGCCAACTCCTGGCCTTTCTTACAGGTAGAATTATTTATGTAGTCCTCTGATTCTCTAGCACCATATATACCATGATAGGCTTATAAGCATCTATTATAATAGAGGTAGCTTCAATATTTTTGCTTGTCAATTAGACTTGAACTTTTGAGAGTACAGCCTGTGTATTATTCATCTTTGTATCTCTGCTCAGCTTCTGACATAGTTCCTGGTATATAATAGATACCCAGCTGAAAGAAAAGAATAAACATTTGCATACATGACTATATAGCTCCTATTTGATAGAAGTTGGAAAGGCCTCTATCAGAATCAGAGCATGTGAGCCTCCGCAGCTGGTAAAACCAAATAATTCATTCATTTGTTTTGTTTCTCTTTGAATGCATGAGAACCTGAACTTGAAATTGTTAAATGGCTTATAGTCTATTTTAAAGGTGTGATCTACAGGGTAAAAATCAGATATTTTCTCTGATTGTACATTTTAGCTTTTGCATTTTATTTTTAAAAGCTATGTTTCAATTGTGGGGGCACGCCTGTAGTCCCAGCTACTCTGGAGGCTGAGGCAGGAGGATTGCTTGAGGCCAGGAGTTCAAATCCAACCAGGTAACATAGGGAGACCCTGTCTCTTAAAAAAAAAAAAAAGGCACACTTGGTGTGCTTGGTAAATAAGAATATTGATTAAAGTGAGATTAGGAAATAAATACAGAAACATCACACTTAACAAGCATTCAGACTTCTGTCAGTTACAGCTATCTGGAACATATTCAAGAACCCAGAGGGAATCTAAAAAAGCCTCTGAAGTTGGAGGAGAATAGCTCTCACAAAGCATGTGTACTTGATGTAGGAGGGAGAGGCACAGTGCCACTCACATGCCAAAGCCCTACTTACTGACTACACATTTTCATAAAAAAATTCCAAGGACTGCTTAGCATGTGTGGTCATTCGGCCTCCTTTCAAGACATTTTAGCTTGTTTCTGGTTTCAGCAGAAAAAAGATTAAAAGAACTCTCCCACCCATGCTGCCAAGAAGGCACTAAATAAAGTATTGTTGACACGAGCGTAAAAGTGATTCTCATGGTTTTCTTCAGAAATCATGGAAACTTACTTTGTGTTTATTTTTTAGTCTTTAAGAATTCTGCTGGACTCATGCAAAATCAGTTGTGACAATACTTAATTTATTCTACTTTTTAAAAAATCTGAGGTTTAAGAAGAGCGATATCCCTTTGATCTCACCTCTTTGAAAGGGGGTCATTAATTTGAGAAAGATTTCTTTATTCCTTTGAGTATTTAGATTATTAATCATAGGTTGAAATCCTCAATATGAAAGGAGCATGTATAAACTTCTTTGCATAATTTGGTAAAAGCTATATAAGTAAGTCAAGGTAAAAAGTCAAAAGGCATGTTTAAGTGATTTGGGGACTTTTTTTTTTTTTTTTTGAGTCGGAGTCTCCCTCTGTAGCCCAGGCTGGAGTGCTGCAGTGTGATCTCGGCTCACTGCAACCTTTACCTCCCAGGTTCAAGCGATTCTCCTGCCTCAGCTTCCTGAGTAGCTGAGACTGCAGGTGTGTCACCACACACCCGGCTAATTTTTGTATTTTCGATTTTGTATTTTTGTATTTTGTATTTTTAGTAGAGACAGCGTTTCACCACGTTAGCCAGGCTGGTCTGGAACTCCTGACCTCAAGTGATCTGCCTGCCTTGACCTCCCAAAGTGCTGGGATTACAGGCAAGAGCTACTGCACCCGGCCGATTTGGGGGCCTATTTTAATGCATGCTAAATATGCTTTTTGTGTAGGGGCTATAGATTAATGAAAATTGGGATCATTCACTTCTCGCTTTCTTCTATTTCTAGATTGCCAAAATGCTTTGGAGTTTTTAACTGAATCTAAGAAAAGTCCAAAATAGATTTGAGACTGTAAAAACAGAAACTGCAGCAAGGGGGATTCAGTGCCAATGCATCAACAAAAAAGACAGCCAGAGTTAGTGGAAGGAAATCTTCCTGTTTTCGTGTTCCCCACGGAGCTCATATTTTATGCAGATGATCAGTCAACACATAAGCAAGTGTTGACACTGTACAATCCCTATGAGTTTGCCTTAAAGTTCAAAGGTGAGTCTCCTAGCTCTATTTTCTGGGTTTTTAACTGCTCCCTACTAATTTTTTACTTGTAGAAACTAATTAAAAAAAAAAAAAACCACTAATGGCCATTGTGACTTTTTCTTTCAGTTTTGTGTACTACTCCAAATAAGTATGTTGTCGTTGATGCTGCAGGTGCAGTAAAGCCTCAGTGTTGTGTGGATATGTAAGTCAAGATCACTTCTTGGTAACACGTTTTAAGTGTGTTAATATTTATGTTTTTAACTTGAGAAAAAAAGATATTTTCTTGAAGCTGTTCTCACATAGGCATTTATTATATCTTGAATTTTTGCTGAAAATTTGTCTATTAAAATTGTTTCGAAGAGATTCGGCCAAATACTTAATAATATTTCATATTGTTGGAGCTCATGTATGTGTTAGTATCTCCGTGAACATTTTCTCATTGTTGTGGTTTTAGTCATACCAGGGATGTATAAAGGTAAAGTTCTGACTTATTCCTTTAAATTTCTCCAGCTATGATAGGGGATTTAGCTTTCTTTGGAACATGCTGCTATTTGGAAAACTATAATACTACTGTCTAAGAACAATGGTAATATGAGTTCATCTGAAGTGATTCAACTAAAAGCCTGGAAGTTAATCTATATAAACAGGAAGCAGTTGTGTAACCACTCATCTGTAAAGTATTATTTGAGCTCTTCCAGATAATTTCATCTTAAGAGTGTCAGATAAATGATTGTTCAAGCTGTTCATATTTAATTTTTATTTTAGAACTAGTGGTGACCAGATGGATCCATTGACCAGCCCTTAATTTTAAGCTACCAAGTACACTGTATTTGTTTAAATCTTCTGTGAGAATGAGAAGCAGAATTCTTTTCTTTTGAATACTTTTTCACCAGCTCAAAGCCATAAAATGATGTATCTTTGAGAATGTTTCTGCACATTTTAAAAAATTTTCATTCAGTACACAATAAGCAAGAGCTATTACAAAGAAATGTAGTCCCTTGCCAAATAAATGTGTTACCTTTGACCTAATTGTTTTGTGTTCCCCGATAAGAACAAAATAAATGGAATTGCAGAAAACTCATAAGAATTACAGTGCTTGGCTAGGTGCAGTGGCTCACGCCTGTAATCCCAGCACTTTGGGAGGCTGAGGTGGGAGGATCACCTGAGGTCAGGAGTTCAAGAGCAGCCTGGCCAACATGGTGAAACCCCATCTCTACTAAAAATACAAAATAAAAATAAAAATAAAAATAGCTGAGCATGGTGGCAGGTGCCTGTAATCCCAGCTCCTGGGGAGGCTGAGGCAGGAGAATCTCTTGAACCCAGGAGGCAGAGGTTGCAGTGAGCAGAGACCACACCATTGCAGTCCAGCCTGGGCAACAAAAGTGAAACTCTGTCTCAAAAAATAAAATAAAATTACAGTGCTGTATACTCTTTTCTCTTCAGAGAAGCAGAGGTGTATTATTGGCCTTCTGTTGCACTGGTAATAGTGGATTACTTACTTATTCAATTGCTTGTTTCTACCTGCATGCATGGGATTCAATTTTAAGTGTAGGGTGAGGTTTGTTGCCTAAACAATAAGTAAGTAGAAATGGAAATTTATGAGATGTTTGTGGGGAATAAACAATTGCATATATTTCTATTTAGTAAATGTTGCTGCACTGAGATATCCAGAAAAAAAAAAGTCATTGCTAAAGATAATTTTCTTTCCTTTTTTTTTTTTTTTCAAATGAGACAGTCTTGCTCTCTTGCTGTGGCAGCGATCATAGCTTAGTGCAGCCTCAAGCTCTTGGGCTTGGGCTTAAGGGATCTTCCTACCTCAGCCTCCCAAGTAGCTAGGACTACACGCACACCACCAAGCCAGTTAATTTTTAAATTTTTTTGTAGAGACGGGGTCTCTGTGTTGCTTAGGCTGGTCTCAAACTCCTGGCTTCAAGTGATCCTGGCCTCAACCTCCCAAAGTGCTGGTATTACAGGTGTGAGCCACTGTACCTGACCAAAAAGGAATTTTCTTTACCTGTTATTTTTTTGCTTAAGACTTTTATTCTGTGTTTCAGATTATGTGCTTTCATCTAATATTTCTGAATTACTCATTTCCGAATTACTCATTTTTTTAACATCTTAGCAAATTTCTGTTTTTGAGTATTTGGTTGTAGTCAGTATATTAAAATATCTCACTGCATTCTGTTTGGCTGGCCCCCAGAAATCTAAACAGCATTTGTTATTTTTGCTGTTTTCAGTGTGATTCGTCATAGAGATGTTCGATCCTGTCACTATGGTGTAATAGACAAATTCCGTCTTCAAGTTTCTGAGCAAAGCCAGAGGAAGGCTTTGGGAAGAAAAGAGGTTGTTGCTACTCTTCTCCCATCAGCAAAAGAACAACAAAAGGAAGAAGAGGAAAAAAGAATAAAGGAACATTTAACTGAAAGTTTATTTTTTGAGCAGTCATTTCAACCAGGTAGTTTGGGGGTTGTTTTTAAAGCCCTTTTGATGTCTTACACATTATTAACTTTAAAATACTCAGGCAGCTAAGAATAATTACTAGAAAAATCATCTACCATTTCAAACATGGTCAACTACTTTAAAACTGAACCTAGAGAATCAGGGACCTGAAGTAGAACAAGAAGCCTGGAGGTGGATTTTGAGAGGAGGGAATACTCCTCACTGGACTAGGCTGTAAGGAGAGGGTAGATGTTGCTGTAGCCTTTTAAATATATCTGTATTTAAACATAAACATAAACATATCTAAGACTGCAGGCACCATACTTTATGAAGCTAGTAAATTTGGCAGTTCTATACTTCTGTTTCCATGACTTTCCTATATCCTTTCTCATTTAATTAGTTCCAAGGAAGAGAGAGATTGTGTTTGGCAATAGGCCAAGCTTAGTGCACTGTTCAAATTATTTTGAAAAAAAAAATCTCATTAAAGTTGAAGTTAATTAAACTAAGTAGATTATAATATCCCCTGTGGGCTATTAATTGAATCCCTCTCCAGCCCTCATTTCCTTCCAGCTTAGATATTCAGAAGTGTTATGATATATTCTTTCAACATTGACACTACCCTCATACTCAACTCTTTGGATGTCATTACCCCGTCTTCTTAACTTCTCATTATCTCCTCCTAAACCTGTTGTAGTAGAAGGAAGATAAAATTTTCCATAGAAAAACAGGGAAACTGGAAACTTTTTGATGGTGATACCGATACATGAATATGATAGCAGCTGTCCTTGAAATTGCAACATTTTATGAAGGATTAAAAAAATCTAATTGCTGTTACATTCAGTCATATCAGTTTGTTCATCTTAGAATGTTTATTTCCGCCGGGCATAGTGGCTCACGCCTGTAATCCCAGCACTTTGGGAGGCTAAGGTGGGTGGATCATGAGGTCAGGAGATCGAGACCATCCCGGCTAACACAGTGAAACCCTGTCTCTACTAAAAATACAAAAAATTAGCCGGGCATGGTGGTGGGCACCTGTAGTCCCAGCTACTCGGGAGGCTGAGGCATGAGAATGGTGTGAACCCGGGAGGTGGAGCTTGCAGTGAGCCAGTGCCACTGCGCTCCAGCCTGGGTGACAGAGCGAGACTCTGTCTCAAAAAAAAAAAAAAAAAAAAATGTTTATTTCAATAACAGGAAGTAGTAGTGCCTCTTTGATTTACTGTAGCTAAGAGTCTCTTCCTAGTCCATTAGGGACCATCTAGATTTTCTGGTAATACCAGGACTAGTGACTAGGTAGTAGCTGTTAGGTTGGTGCAAAAGCAATTGCGATTTTTGCCATTACTTTTAATTGCAAAAACCGCAATTACTTTTGCACCACCCTATAGTGGATTGTTTTATTCTGACCAATTAGTATCAACTGACAGGACCAGCTTTTCATCTTTTGAAGCTGAAAGAGAACCTTTGTCCAGTGTCACTCTGTCAGATCAATATTGTAAAGTTAACGTAGTTATGAAATGCAAGATTCCCTTTTTAAAATGCTTCCTCTGGTATAAGAAAGAAAGGCCATTTAATTTGTATTTGTTTTTTGAAGTTACACTTGTAATTTAAAATAGTCTTTGAAGTTCAGTTTTGTATTTAACAGATTGGTTTAATAACCAATCTGGAGTAAGGAATAATAAGGAGTAAGGTTTAGGGTATATGTGTATGTAAATATATGTAAGGAGAACTTTATTCCTCTTATTGTGAAATTTATTAAAATTCAGGTGAAGATCATGCTAAGAGGCTAAATAATTATAGTATGTATTGTCTTATTTTGTTTTATTTTTTATTTTTTGAGAAAGGGTTTGTCGCCCAGGCTAGAGTGCAGTGGTGCCATCATAGTTCACTGCAGCCTCCAACTCCTGGATTCAAGTAATCCTCCTGCATCAGCCTCCTGAGTAGCTGGGACTACAGGTGCTCGTCACCACACCCAGGGTCTCACTATGTTGCTCAGGCTTGTCTTGAACTCCTAGCCTCAAGCAATCCTCCTGCCTCAGCCTCCTAAAGTACTGGGATTACAGGCCTGAGCTCCCGCACCCGGCCTTATTTCATTTTTCTAACAAACCTTGGTGTCTAAAGTATATTAGAGAGTTTTTCTAATTATAAAATTGGAGTAGGCAGATGAATGAGGATAGGTGATGCTAGCATAACACATGGTGATCTCTGTTTTGGGGGAAAAAATTCTCTAATCCATTCCTGTAAGGAAGCTCAATGAAGGCAGGCACTTTTCCTAGTACTATTATATCCTCAGTACCTAGTGCAGGGCCTGGCACAGAGAAGCTACATAATGAATTTGTAAATGAGCTGAGCTAGGAAGGCTGGACTTCAGGTCTGGTAAGGGTCTGTGGGAATGGTGAGTTTTTTTGTTTTGTTTTGGCTTACAAGGTTTTCATGGCTATGACAGCTGTTTAGAGGAAGGGTGATACCACAGTACAGCCCCATTCACAGTCCTGGCCAACATGTCCCATTTATGGGTAGTCACCCCAATGTGTCTAATAACCTGGAAGTAAGTTGAGTAAAGTTTTCTTCTTTAATAGAATATCATGATGACTGATTTCGTCTCCTGTCTATTAAATTTACAGGAATTTATATGTCGTTTCCAATATGTGGAAAACTCAGGTTTTTAAGTTTTTCTGAACTAAAATGTTGAAAATTAATTGAGATTGTTTTGGGAGGCTTTGAAATGTCATTACTTTTACAAGTCCTTAGCTTAGAGAATATTTCAACAAATGCATATTATTAAAGTATTAGAGGTACAACAGTGTTGTGAGACTCACTTTTAGCAGGAAAATGGTTGATGGCTACATTATGAAAAATTTGGATTTTGAAATATATTGAAAGTCAGTAAAAATGAGAAAAATTTAAGTTTATTGTATAAAACACATATAGCAATAACATAAGAAAATGTACCTGTAATCTCACACACTTAACACATCTGCTTATATAAGTGTTCCATGTTACTTTCCAGACCTTGCCTATGTGCATAAGTATATCTTGTGAGTTTTTTTATTCAACAGAAATTTAAGTATACTTTCATAAAATACTAGAGCTCAGGTTATTAAAAAGCCATTTTAAAAGATACATCTGAATCTTAGTGGGTTTGTCTTAATTACATTATTAATGAACTGCTATGTCTATGCTATAATGTTTGAGTCAGTACCCTCTGGCTTAAGAAAAGTATAGTCTTAATTATTGTTTATAATAATAAAAAAATTGAAAATAACTGAAAAGTCCATCAATTGGGAATTGATTAAATTATAAATATTCATAAGGTAGTGTGCCAGGCAGACATTTACGAGGATCTGATAGAATGATGAATGCTTATACATTGTCATATAAAGAGCTTCAAATATATTTCTAAGTAAGGAAAAAAAACCAGTTATATAACAGTATGTATAATATGGCCTTATTTATGTAAAAGATTCTCCTACATGTTTATACGGGCATTTGTAAAATCTAAAAGGATACATACCAAGCTGCTAACAGTGTTAGCTCTAGGAGGGTGGAATTATGGAGGAACATTCACGTTTTCTACATCTTTATAACATATTTTACAACGATCCTGTAGTACTAGGGGGAAAAAAGCTTTTTCCATTTTGAAAAATTTCAAGCATTTATGTAAATGTTTTTGGAATACTAAAAATTCCAATTTCTCTAAATACTACATGTTCTCTAAATACTAAAAATTATTTGAAATTACCTTTATTGTGGGTCTGCAGTGAATGGTGTACTTGTCATAAATAACTGTTTTCCTTGAGAATTCATCCTTGCAACAAAGATAACTATAAAGGTACTCTATTAACTGAAACAAGACTTGGGGTTTTTCTTTTAGGTATTTCTGCTATTGTTTCATTCCAAGCAATAATTACTATAAAATTTGAATTTGTTTTCACCTCTCTGGCTCTGATGAAGTTCAGTTAACGCCACACAACAGCTAAGGTATTAATAATTTAGAAAAGTTCCATTTAATAATAGAATGAACAGCATTATTTCATTAATGAAACACAAAGATTGTGTTGCTGTTGGCTATTCCTTTTAATGAAAGGAAAGGTAGTGGGAAAAGCTGTATGAAAGAAAATGCTGTTACTGGGTTTCTTAAAAATACGGGTATGTATACTATACAAATAGAGTCAGAACTGTAGAATAGCAGGTGTGATAACATTTTTAATTTTTTTTTTTTTTTTGAGACGGAGTCTTGCTCTGTCACCTAGGCTGAAGTGCAATGGTGCAGTTTAGGCTCACTGCAACCTCCACCTCCCGAGTTCAAGCGATTCTCCTGCCTCAGCCTCCTGAGTAGCTGGGATTACAGGCGCCTGCCACCACACCCGGCTAATTTTTGTATTTTTAGTAGAGATGGGGTTTCACCATGTTGGCCAGGCTGTTCTCAAACCCCTGACCTCATGATCCACCTACCTTGGCCTCCCAAAGTGCTGGGATTACAGGCGTGAGCCACCATGCCCGGCCTTTTAAAAAAATCTTTTAGAATTTTATTTTAGGAACATTTAACATGAGACCTAGTCTCTTAATGAATGTTTGTGTACAATAAAATATTGGTTAAATGGAGGGATAACGTCGAGTAGATTTCTAGGACTCACTCAGTTTACATAATTGAGACCTATGCCCATTGATTAGCAATTTGCATTATCCTCCTCCCCCAGCCCCTGGCAACTACCATTTTGCTCTCTGCTTCTATGAGTTTGACTATTTTAGATTTCCTGTATAAGTGGAATCATGCAGTATTTGTCCTTCTGTGACTGGCTTATTTCACTTAGCGTATTTGCCAGATACTGTTTCTGCTGTTTTCTTCTTTGCTATAAATGGGTTAGAGCAGAGGGAAACACTTTTGGTTCCTTAACATTTTCAAAATTGATAGCAGGATGTACAGTTATTAGGATCAAACCTATCTGGGGAGCTCCTTAAAATATTCCCAAAAGGTAGTGGAGGTCTAGTGTGGCAGGCTCAAATTGAATATACACAGGCAAGCCACTGGGGTACTGGAAGAAAATATCAGAACTTCAATTTATATTTATTTTTAGCACATTCTTCCAAAAATCTATTTGTATGTTTTATATTAAGCCTAACAGTACAGAACTTGTGCATATAATTTTAAAATGTGCATACATTGATGATACATGCTTGAATACTTTCTACTGACTAGGGTGGGATGGTCGGGGGAGTTGGTGACCACCTTTCAGTAAGAGCTCACTACCTCACAATGCCACGTCAGCATTCCATCCTGCAATGATTCAGACCAGTTAAGACATGGGCTTCCACATCAGCCCAGCAGTTAACTCTCTGATGGATGAAAATGATGGGGAAACAATCGGAGAAGTTAGACAAAATCAGAATTCTGGTGAGTGGCGGCCAGTGTATGTGAAGGAACTTTTGTCTTAAAGTTTTTAGAAGGAAGCTTAGGGATTTTTGTCTTTTTACAGAAAACAGAGCTGTCTCCTCAGGACCTAGTTTACTAACTGTCTTCCTGGGAGTGGTGTGCATTGCAGCCCTGATGCTGCCTACAATGGGGGATGTGGAATCGCTGGTGCCTCTCTACCTCCACTTAAGTGTGAATCAAAAATTAGTGGCTGCTTATATCTTAGGTAAGGGTTTTAAAGATGCATTTGGGACATATGTGTAGGATTTTATGTGTTTATGGGTGGTGGTGGTTTGATTTTTTTTTTCCTGAAGAACAGGTAAACAAATGTTTCAAGAGCATGTTGAGGTCAGGTGCCTTTGAAGACTTTTTCAGCTCACATTTAGTTCTTTTTAGCTTATTTATCTAGTACCTGATACTGTATTCAATTATTTTCCTTTTGCCGACTTACAATGTCATAAAACATGTATAAAATGTAAACCGCATGCATTCCATGATACAGCATTTCTACTTTTAGGAATTGCTTCTAGGGAAACAAAGTACATGTGGTGATAAAGATGAATAATGCAGCCTTGTTTAATATTGTGAACCTTTCTCTTTTATTATTATTTTTTCTTTACTTTTGAAGGCACCATGTTCAGAACTTTTTAAGCCAATTCCCTTATTTCCTGTTGATTCACTATTTCAGTCATCCTGGCTTGAAATCTTAAGAGTTAATTATTTCAATGGAACAAATATTTATTCTGTACCTTCCATGTGTTGAGGATTAGTGTTCTGGAGATGAATGACTTTCCTCATGTTCTCCTCTCACCTTTGCTTAGATGCCAACTCTTTTCGGTATTCCCTGGCATATGTGCTTCCTCTTATTTATTTATTTATTTAGAGACGAAATTTCGCTCTTGTTGCCCAGGCTGGAATTCCCTGGCATATGTGCTTTCTCTTATTTATTTATTTATTTATTTATTTATTTATTTAGAGACGAAATTTCCCTCTTGTTGCCCAGGCTGCAGTGCAATGGCGCATTCTCAGCTCACTGCAAGCCTCGCCTTCCAGGTTCAAGTGATTCTCCTGCCTCAGCCTCCCGAGTAGCTGGGATTACAGGCATGCACCACCACACCCAGCTAATTTTGTATTTTTAGTAGAGACGGGGTTTCTCCATGTTGGTCAGGGTGATCTCGAACTCCCAACCTCAGGTGATCTGCCCAACTCGACCTCCCAAAGTGCTGGGGTTACAGGCGTGAGCCACCAGGCCTGGCTGCTCTCTCTCTTTTATTTTGAGAATCATCTTCTTGATGATTCTCTTGATCGTCTACCTTCTGTCTGTGTTCCTTCTTCTTCTTCCCCCATTCATTCCCACCCCCAACCATCCATCATATTGTCATATTTATTTCTCTTTTGCTCTCACGACCACCCCCTAGTCAAAAATCTTCAGTGGTTCCCCATAATCCATACGATGAAGTATATAACCTTCAGTGCCATAGTTTGGCATTTAAGACTCTCCACAATCTGAGACCTCTCTGAGCCAAATTTGTCTAGCTGCTTCCTCCTGTAAATCATTGCCTAAAGCCTTTTAGATTATTCACTCATTCTGGAAAAGCTCCTCTAGAGGCCTGGTTCTCCAGGCCCTTACTCATGCCATTCCCTCACCTGAAATGCCTGCCCATCTCCTCGTTCTCTCTCTCTTTCCTGTCCATGTCTTTTTTTTTTGTGATAAAAGTCTCACTCTGTCACCCAGGCTGAAGGGCAGTGGGTGGCCGGATCTCAGCTCACTGCAACCTCCGCCTCCCCAGTTCACTGGATTCTCCTGCCTCAGCTTCCCAAGTAGCTGGGATTACAGGTGCTCGCCACCACACCCGGCTAATTTTTGTATTTTCAGTAGAGACGGGGTTTTGCCACGTTGGCCAGGCTTGTCTTGAACTCCTGACATCAGGTAATCCACCTGCCTTGGCCTCCCAAAGTGCTGGCATTACAGGCGTGAGCCACCATGCCTGGCCCCTGTCCATCTTGTAAAGCAGCTTTTTATCATTGGGGGCAACTTTTCTGACTGCCCCAGTCTCATGTGATTATCCTCCGTCTCTGTACTTTTTTTTTTTTAAATCACACTTTCATCATCCTTCATTTAGGACTGAGCATATTCTTATTCTTATTTTATATTTTATATATTCTCTCTTCAAAAGAAAGAAGCAAAGCAGGAATGCCATGCTTCTGTCTCTTTGTGGCCCTAGGGCCCTGGGATACAGGTAGACTCTTGATGCTTCTGTTAACAAAGTCGACTGGCTTTACCCATGCTTTAAAATGGCACATCTGCTGTTATGGCTGATGTGACTGAATAAAGTAGGAGGTATGTTTGATAGTTTGCTGTGGCCAGACATTAGTGATTTAATTAAATCTCTCCAGTGACTGCCCATTGCTATAAATTGGATTTCTTCTTTATAATATCAACAAAATTCAAATTGACTTTGAGTTCTTGGTAGAGTGCCTGCCTATGTGCTATGTTTTATTTGTTCACTGAGGTCCAAACAATTGCTTATTGAATGAAATATTCTATTAGATGCATATCTTTAACTGTTCTCCATTTTTTTTCTTTCAGGTCTTATCACAATGGCCATACTTAGAACATGAGCAAGGATTTCAGTTGACTTCTGAAGTAAATCTATCTTGAAAATATGAATGTGGACTGCCTTTTATCTCTATTTCACTCCATTAACATGCTACCAAACTAGTTGAATGATTTCAAGTAATTGCAATTGTTAATATATATTTTAAATTATAATTTAATTTGAAGGGACCGCAGAACATTATTTTACAGACAGCAGGATGCTTCTGAGTGAACCTAGGAAATTATTTGAAGAAATTCTTTTTATACCTATACCTGTTGTGCAAGAGACTTTTGTTATTTGCTCACCCTTTTTTTCCAGTTCACTTTGATTGCCAGGGGTCATGTCTGCTTCGAAGTTACAGGACTAAAAGAACAAACTGACCGGCCTAAAACTAAAATGACATTTATTCCCTAGCTACAAACGTCAGCGTTATTATGTTAATCATACCTTACCCTCTATCATTATAAGCGGTTGCCATGGTGTTTCTAAAAGTAAGTGTTTTACCATTAATGTGTAGAGGGGAACAAAGCATAAAGTACTAAGGGATCATGCTTATCCTAGGGTCTCACAGAAGACAGGACATATTAATTAATCTTGTGAATTACAGAATGGGTTGTGGTCCAGACACCAAGAATCATAGGGGTTTTTTAAAGGAACCTAATGGAAGTAGGGTGACCTCTCTCTTTGGTCTAAGAGTTCTAAAGGAAGGTAGGCATCTGTTTAATTAGTTGGTTCACCCTGGCTTTACCTCTGGTTAATGCTTTGTGTTAACAGGAAGGAAAAATCACTTTATCTTTTCTTCTAAGCCCCTTCCCCGCCTGACTTGCCCAGACTGGGCTTACCAGATACCAGGTGATTTATGTGGAGATGATTTTTCACCTTTAAACTCTAAGCCAAGTGTAGGAAACTCTTCATAGCTGTGTCGATTTTATATCAGTCACTGAGACTTTTTTTTAAGTTTTTATTTATTATTAAGACAACTTTGCCAAAAAAAATCCCCTAAGCACAACTATTTACATTTCTTTATAGCCTCTTCTGATCTCTAACACATATATGCAGTTTTAACTGTTACTGTCATAGTAACTGATCTTTTGTCTAAGGATTTTTACCTGAAAGCACAATGCATTAAGAGTCTCTTGAAAATCATCTTTCAGATCTTTTTACAGAATGAATTTATGCACTGCAACAAACACAAATGTATGCCTGAGGTTGGTTTTTGCAGAAAATAGTCTCCGCTTCTAAAAACTTCTATGTCTAGTCTTCCATAGGAAATCCTCACTGTTTAACCATGTGAGGAGCCTAAGTCATTAAACGGATCATGTCTGTACATTGTGTAATGAATGAAAAGCACATAAATGTAATCTACTTTGAACTTTGTAGAAATTATGTGTGGAGGCTATTCTTACTTATCCATCTCAAGTCCTGTGTGTGCACGTGTGCGCAAGTGCACATACGTGTATGTATGTGTGTATAATAACACATTGTAAAGAACAGAAATTACTTTAAAAAATAAACAGAAATGGAGACCTGAGCTTCACATTGATTTAAACATTTTATTTAACTTACCTTCGAGGAACTTAAGGTTTTAGCTCTCTTATTTCCTAAAGTTGTCTCATATTTCTGTGACTGACATAGGAAAAGTAGAAACAGTGAAATAATAACAGCTTTATTTACCAAGGGATTTAAGTCACTTTGTAATTTAACTTCTTGAATAGGTAACAATCATATGCTTCAAAAATGAAAATAGAGTGAAAAATCACTCCTCACCCTCTCAGTGCACCCAGCGCCTTACAAATGACCCCTTTTATTAGTTTAAATATATGTGTGTGTGTGTGTGTGTATGTTTGAGTGTTGGAGACGGGGTCTGTCTCTGTCACCCAGGCTGGAGTTCAGTGGCGCAATCTCGGCTCACTGCAGCCTCAGCCTCCTGAGTAGCTGGGATTACAGATTTGCACCACTATGTCTGGCTAATTTTTGTATTTTTAGTAGAGACAGGGTTTTGCCATGTTGGCCAGGCTACTTTGTTTCTTTATGCAAAACATATACAAGTTGAGTATCCCTTATCCAAAATGTATCCCTCATCCAAAATGCTTGGGACCAGAGGTGTTTCAGATTTGGGAAGTTTTTCAGATTTGGGGATATTTGCATATACATAATGAGCTATCTTGGGGATAGGACCCCATCTGTAAACATGAAATTTGTTTCATACATACCTTATACACATAGCCAGCAGGTAATTTTATTTTTCCCTTGGGGACATTGAATAAACTGTTACGTACCTGCCTTTTGACTGTGACCCATCACATGAGGTCAGGTGTGGAATTTTCCACTTGGGGCATCATGTCAGCACTCCAGAAGTTTTAGTTTGGAGCATTTCAGACTTTGGAGTTTTGGATTAGGGGTGCTCAACCTGTATATTCTTACTGTTTTTTCTGTAGAAACAATAATAGTTTCATTAGTAGTCAGAGACCTGGGGCTTGAGCTGGCTCTGGAAGGGTAAGTTTAATTCACATACAGAGAGGAGCTGGATTCACAAGAAGAGGCAAGGATGTGCCACGAGGTGAGATTTGTTTTGAAATAATGTCTAGGGAGATGAGACTGTTGTGTGTTCCATTATTTCCTGTCTGCTGTGAAGAAAACTTTACTGCTGTGACTCATGGGGATGAACACAGGCTCATGAGGAAAGAACTCAGCTAGCCAAGGGGCCACAGGTATCACAAAATTTAATCAGAGAAGAGGTAAAGAAGTAATTGTCATCGTGAAAACAAATATGATTCATCCTGAAGGTAGCTAGCAAACAGGAAACACAGCAAGAGACATGGCAATAGTTGCAATTATCCGTCACTGCAGGTGTTTCTGCCACCACGAAATCGTTAGGCCAGCACAGTTCTGCCACCCGAGTTCATTTCGAAAGGAGCTGTACAAAGTCGGCCTGTGAAGCTTTAGGTTTCTAGAAAAGATTCTGGAAACGAGTGTCTCCCAGGTATTTTCGTTCACTGAACGAATAAGTTGAAGGACTATAGCAGCTGCAGAGGTGATATCTACAGGGTTTCCACATGCACACGGAAGTAGACGCTAAGGTTTCAAAACTTGACTATTATGAAAGAGATTGAAGATTTCAAGTGGTACCTAAAACCCTGCCATTTAGAGAAAGCATGCCTAAAAGGAACAATTTAGACCTAAAGGAAGTTGGGGGGTGGGAGGAACTGGGACCACAGAGTTATCTTAGAAGATTCAAATGGAGGGGCCCAGCCAGCCTAGCTGCATTATCCTAGAAGTGGAATGTCAAGTTAGTGATTATTTCATTAGGAAAGTATTTGCTACACCTATAATCTGGAAGTGATAAACAACATACCAGAGCAGAACATTAGTCTCCGGGATTAAATACCAAACAGAATAACAAAGAGTTGACCCAGCTACAGGATGTTAAGACAGTCCTGTCCAGTTACCACATCAAAGACCCTGTAAGCAAGCCATGGGCAGAAAAAGGAGGAATAAATTGACACTGGTTTGGAGAGGCTTTATATGACCGAGAGAACAAAAATGCAAATGGACTAAACTCAAGCTGGCTGTTTATTTTGTTCATTTAGTTTTTCTGTGATTTGCCCGTCACTTAGTTAATCAGAAGATAGTCAACAAATTAAAGTGACACTTACCATGGGCTATGTTAGCTTCAGCGCCTAATAGAAACTGGGTCAGTTCAAGGAAGATGATGGTGAGGAATGTCCAGCTTACTAAATACGTTTGCCAATTAGCTGGGTGATTGCTTTGTGAATCACTGACTTAACAAACACACAAGCTAGACAGTTCAGAATGTGATCCAGGTAGGTGGCGGAAAGGCTTGATTCGATAAAGAGAAAAGAATAAATGAAATGATTTCATAAGAATGCAGACAGATTTTTTAGTCCACCAGGGTAGAGAAAAACAATGTGAAATCTCTCTTGACGAAACGAAGTGTGAGGTGTGATTATGTTAAGAAAACTGCCAACCTCTGGGATAGAAAGCAGAATGCAGATGTGGCACAGGCGCACGTGCATACACACAGATGAAATCCCACATTAAATTACTTTTGCACAATCATAAGTCACAGGAGGTACAGTTAGGAATGGATTTTCTTTCTTTCTTCTTTCTTTCTTTCTTCTTTCCTTCTCTTTTTTCTTTTCTTTCTTTCTTTCTTCTTTCTTTTTTTCTTCTTTCCTTCTCTCTCTCTCTCCTTCTTTCTTTTTTTTTTTCGTCTGAGACAGAGCCTTGCTCTGTTGCCTAGGCTGCAGTGCAGTATTGTGATCGTGGCTCACTTCAGCCTCAACCTCCCAGGCTCAAGTGATCTTCCCATCTCAGCCTCCCAAGTAGCTGGGATTACAGGCACACACCACCATGCCGGATAATTTTTTTTTATTACTTTTTGTAGAGATGGAGGTCTCACTTTGTTTTCTAGGCTGCTCTTGAATTCCTAGGTTCAAGCAATCCTCCCACCTCGGCCTCCCAAAGTGCTGGGATTACAGGTGTCAGCCATCATACCCAGCCAGGCATGCAATTTATTAAACAAAAGCACCCTCTCTCCTAATAAACATGTTTTTGCAGCTAATCACTGTACTAGATAACCTTTATCTTCTGCTGTTCTCAGGCTGCTAGAGAGCAGATGTTTTTTGTTTCTTTGTGTGTTTTTTTTAGTAGACTTTATTTTTGAGAGCAGTTTTGGGTTCACAGCAAAATTGTTCAGAAAGTACAGAGTTCACATATACTCCCCTCCTCCCTCCGCGACGTGCACAGCCTCTCCCACTAGCAACATTCCTCATCAGACTGGTACATTTGTTACAATCAATGAACCTACATTGACACATCATGATCACTCAAAACCCACAGTTTACATTAGGGTTCGCTGTTGGTGTGATATATTCTATGGGTTGGGACAAATGTTTAATGACATGCACCCACCAGTATAGCATCATACGGAGTAGTTTCACTGCCCTAAAAGTCCTCTGTTGGGGTTTTCTTTCTTACATTAAAATTTTTCTTATGGAAAATTTTGAATATTTACAAAAGTCAAGAGAATAATATAAATGAACTCTGCCTGTGTACTTATCACCTGCCTTCAGAAACTACCAACCATGGCCAATCGTGATGAGATGGAATTTTGGTGTTTTTGTTTGTTTTGTT